CCCCCCCCCCCCCCCCCCCCCAAAAAAAAAAATCACACCCTGTCCCATCTCCTTTTTTCCAGGAAAGAAAGAAGAAGAAGAAAAACAAAACAGGATTCCAGCTGACTCACCAGTAGACCACGGTTCTTGAACTTGTCGTAATAAGTGTCCTCTTCCCACACCCCCTCCCCTCTTCCCACACCCCCTCCCCTCTTCCCACACCCCCTCCCCTCTTCCCACACCCACTCCCCTCTTTTCCCCGAAAGAAAGACAGAAAAAAAGAAAGAGAGAAGGGGGAAAAAATTCTAATTGACTCACTAGTAGACCTGGTTCTTGACCTTGTTGTAATAAGTAAGTGCCCCCCGCCCCCCCTCCCTCCCACAAAGACAGAACTACAAAAAAGAACAACAACAACGAACTCACTAGTAGACTTGGTTCTTGAACTTGTTATAGCTCCCAAACATGATGATGCCGCCGAAGGAGACGGACAAGGAGAAGAACATCTGTCCTGCAGCGTCCACCCACACCTGGATAGATTGGATAGATCGGATATATTAGAGAGATTAGATATAATCGGATAGATTAGATACATCGGATAGATCAGATAGACCAGATAGATCAGACAGATCAGATAGATCGGATAGATCAGATAGATCAGATAGATCGGATAGATCAGATAGATCAGATAGATCAGATAGATCAGATATATTAGAGAGATTAGACAGATCAGATAGATCAGATAGATCGGATAGATCGGATAGATCAGATGAATCAGACAGATCAGACAGATCAGATAGACAAGATAGATCAGGTAGATCGGATAGATCGGATAGATCAGACAGATCAGAACTGTTCCGAACCAAACCGATCCTCCAATGGGCAGATCCTCCAATGGACAGTGGGTATAATTGGTATAATATTATTAGCTCACCGAAATATCCGTGAGTTTGTCCCACTCCGGCACGATAAAGAACTCCACACCGTCGATGGCTCCGTCCAGCAAGGACCCGCGGATGAGCAGGATGATGAGGATCACGTACGGGAAGGTAGCGGTGAAGTAGACCACCTGGTGTCA